CCGTCAAGCCTCCTACCCCCCATGGTGCAGAAAGGGTTAATTATTGCTTCTGTCCCTTACCAGGCTCAAGCACTGATGACCCTCAGCACTGGCTCGGGTCCTCCTTCTCTCCTCCACCTGCCAAGGTCAACCAGAGGGGCAGACTTAACGCTGGATGTCCCCAGGCTTAGCATGAGGAATTCCAGCATCGGTTAGACGACCAAAAGACGCCTAACAGCTCCGAATTTCCCCTAGTGGTTGTCTAGCAGACAGCCACTAGAGGTGGAGTTAACCCTAGCAGATAATTATTGAAGTTTCTTCAAAACTGCAATAAATACCTGCTCAGGGTTAATTTACCTGGGGCACTTCACCCAGACAAGGTCAATAAGCTGAAGCACTCTTGGTGTCTATAGTGTCCCTTTACTGAATAATCATAGATTTCATGGATTTTTTGTTAGGTATTTCTTACAGCCCTGTGCTCAGCAATAGTTATTTCTCATACTGGAATAAAGGCAGAAACTGTAAAAAGCAACGATACTGAAATGGGAGACCGCGTAGAGGGAGTCTCTGGATCCTGTGGAATGGATAAAGCTCTTTGAAAACTCCTTTAGGGTGATGGCTTGCTCTCTATTGCTTTCAAATCTTTAGCCCCCCACCCCCATTAAACTACGGCATATTCGCCAGTCCGTTCTCCCTTATGCTTTAAGGGTTGTGGCAGAGATAGTTTGGTGGACTTGCCTCTTGTTGAGCTTTCAGCATTGTGTCTGTGGCAAAATTGGCGCTGCCCTTGGAGTTGGAATCAAGTCTTTGTCACAATGAAAACATCTCTTTAGTGGATCTTTTACAAGCGCTAAACAGAACTCTCTTAAATGAATAGCTGTTCTCTCATTGACATGCATACTGAAACCGGTAATTAGTTACAATAAGAACAAGATATGTTTCATTCTTATAAAAGAATCCTTGTGTATACAAATGTTGTTTGTCTTTCGATATAGTAATATTTGCTGTGTTATTGGTACAAAACACCCACATTTTATTTCACAAAATTATATTTTTTTAAAATAATTTTTACAAACCCAGAAAATACCGTATGTCGCCGCATAATAGTCGTCACCGCATAATCGTCGCACCTTGATTTTTCAGTTAAAAAATTGGTTCAAATCCAATTCGTTACGTAATAGTCGCATAATTGACCATTGCTGTTTTTGTTGTGAGACATTCTTATTCTTGAAAACTAATTGCGAACATCCTACTGTTCTGATACTGAAAAGAGGGTTTAATACCCATCAGTTTATTGTATTTTAGCGCTTTTTATCTATGTAATTCATTAAGAAATGACAGGAGGATAGGAACCAGGATTAGAGATTACGTGATGCAGAAAATATGCTATGTTATATTATTAACAACTATAATGTTATCAGCAACTGTTAAAAAAAAAACAAAGCTTTGCATATATAATACTGCTTTAAAAAAAAATGAAAGCTTTGCATATATAATATTGCAAAAAAAATAAAGCTTCACATAATGGTCGCACACCGCATAACGATCGCACCCCTATTTTTAAGGAAAGGAATTAGGCATAAAATCTGTGACCATTGTGCAATAAAATACGGTAGTACCTTTAAATTTTCCTATATCACCTAGACTCTGTTAGTTATGAAGTAATGATGTCAAATTATATATATGTATCTATATATGTATCCTGTGATTATCTGTATGAAAAGCAGCAAAACTGATATCTAGCCATACATCGCCCCCTACTGCTGACAAATGAGTTTGACATTGGTTACAGAGAGAATAATATAAAAAGCAAGCAGTACAGGAATAACTAAATTTTGTGGTTTTGTAATAAAAGTGTATCCAAAATTCAGCAATATGGAAACAGCACAAATATATGAAAAGCCTATGATTGGACCTTGGTGCAGCTCCGGTCATGTTAGACAAGGGTGAGCCGAGCTTTGCTTCGGCTGTGTTTTAATGTGTGATATTATTTTAAAAACGCTCCTTTACCAGGGGGGCTGATAGAATAATGCCATTAGGGCATCCATAAATACCAGGCTCTACAACCATTCTCCATGCTTGCCAAAACTTTTTAGCGTTTTTGGATGATTGTGTTAGTAAAATGTATGTTTGTCTCCTGTGTTATGTTTAATTGCCGTGATGTGGTCTGCCAACGTGGCTGTCTATTCCCTGACCAGCGTGGTATGGTCAGTAGCCAAGTAATTATGAAAAAGGTCACGTTTTACATCGGTAACAGGTGTCTTTTTTGAATAGCTGTAGCAGCATCTCAACAAATGCTGTCCATCTTGGTCAGACCCTAACTCTGCCAACCACGTCTCCTCACATTTTTCACCACAAATATAAGAATTTCTCTTTTGACAAACTCCTCCTTCCATTACTCCTCTTATGGCTCTAACCATTATATTGCTCCCTATAATTCATAAATAATTAGTTCTATATCAATTTATCATTATAGCTCTCTTACACATTCCAACCCTACTTGGGGTGTTCTTAGTTACCAAATCAGTTCTTGGATTGATGTAGATTATTTCACAGGTAAGGGGTCATTATTCACTCATACATTAAAGGGACACTATAGTGTCAGGAAAACATGGTTTGCATGAGCTCCACAATCAAACAGAGTATTTGGGGACTTTTGGGGACTTTTAAATCCTGAGAAAAGCATCAAACCAGACTTGCCTGCCGTCAGAACCAAGCAGGGTACAGTGTATCGGTGCCACAAAGAGCATGTCATTGGCTCCTATCAAAGCTCCTGGAAAGCCTACTGAAAGCGCTGGGCGGGAGAGGCAGCCGATCTCCCGAGTTCACGTGGAGCTGTCACGTGAGGTGTTTTATGAGAGCCCATGTCCCTCCCCCTCTGGCCCAGGGAGGGGGGTCATCCAAGCCCACCACTGAGCTGCATTACACTAATACTCAACTCGGCTTTCTGCTCCAGTCTGCACTCTGGTTGCAATTTCACTCACTAATATGGCGACGACACTATCTATGCAGGGGGACACTGACCCAGACAGCCCAATGCAGCTCTAGTATGAGCTCCCTCATGAGATTGGAAGAAATCATAGAATGGTTTTGGATGATGCTGAAGTCGAGTGCAACCTCTACACTTTGTCTGAACTTGGAAAGTAGGCTGAAAAGCGTGAAAAACTAAGACAGACAGAGCCACCCCTGGGTCTACCACCTGCTCCTATGCATATTACCTCAACCAGTAGCTCACCTGGGCTAAAGGCCAAAATGGATACTATCCCAAAGCATCATCCACACCAGCAGGAGAGAGTCAGCTTCAAGACTAGACTCTTCTCTTACTCCCTGCATGGGAGAGACTTGGACTCTAAGAGCCATCGAGTCCGTGGAGAGGAGTCTAACCTCGATTCAGTTCCACGGATGTCAGGTGCTTTATTCCACCACACTCCCTGTGTTCCCTGCTTGTGGGAGTCAGTTGAAGAGAGAAAACCCTGTATTGTACCTGACCTGCCGCTTACATTTAATATGGTTTCAGGTCTTTTTGTCTTAACCCATTTTTATTTGAGCTGTATGTTTTTTGGTTTTCCCATTTAACTTTTGAAGGTACAGAGATGGGACAGTGAAGGCCGTCTCAGTGGTTCCCTAACTCATGTTAGATTAGAGCTTGTTTATCTTTCAGTTTACTTTACTCATAGCATGATGCACAACGACTCTATCCTTATTAATGACACACGCATCTGATGCTATATATCAAGCTTCTATTTAACTAGTGTTTTATAGAAAAATAAAAATAATGCAGATTTAGCTACATGTCATGATATACATCTGTTGTTTTTTTTTTCATCTTACTGACTTGGCCTTCAAGCCTGTATGTTTATCACTGCATGGCATAAATAAAGAATGTCAGAAATGATGCCAATGCGTGCAAGGGGATCCAGCTTACAATTTAAGAGTTCTGAGAAGTAAATATTGCTAAACAGCAAGTATAATGCCAAATTCATCTTCTACAAAATATTTTTTCTGCAGAGGTCATAAAAATTGTAACTTGCAGGAAGTCAGACCAGAGAATGAAGGTTTTTTGTTTTTTTTAGCAAGAGAGTCTACGATGAGATGCACTCTGCTCTCCTATTATGTGAAACTTGTAGTAACTTCAAGTGCCCACTGGGAGCCGCCAGCGCTCTACACTTTTTTCTGCTCCAAGGAATATTTTTATTGGAGGAACAGTCATGAAAAGCATTGCTTTACACAACCCTCTTAAAATTACTAGGTAATAATAATAACAAAGTATTTAACCAGGAAAGGTACATTTCGATTACTCTGGTTTTCAAGTATGTCCTGGGGATGTTACCTAAGACCAACATCCAGGGGTTGTTGCTATTACCCAATTTAATAGTATTCATTTTATCTACCTCGGAAGGATGAAGGGCTGAGTCAACCCTAATCCCAATGTTTTTCATGCTACTCCTGAAAATCTTGAATGTCTCCCAGGGTTATTAACTAAAGTTTGAAATGTCAGGAATTTGATGTGGAATATTCAACAAACACCAAATATAAGTGAATTAAATGAGAATTTTGAGTGCTATGAAATATTATTTTCTGCTATTTTACATAAGGCTTTAAATTCACAGTTTTACATGCCATTGCTGCAGAACGAGACATTCATTTACCTCCAAGAAGAAACAGCAAAATAAGTATAAACAAACTTAACAATCGTAACGCAGTATTTAATTTGTTATAAGCAATCCAAAGGTGCATTAAAGCAGCAATTCATTGGTTTCAAGGAGAACGCTTTGTTAAATATCTTACTTGCAATTTTTTTTCCCATCTAATTTACAAATCCTTCGGGATTGTTCGCTCAGATATTTCGAGTTTGGTTCTATTCTCATCCCTCCTCCTTCTGACTTTAGCGAAACATATCAGTTTATAACAAATGAGGATTGATCATTATTGCAGATAAACTGTTATGTATCCGGATGCTCCCAGTAATGTGAGATATTATTCCACACTACAAACAATGAAAATCTGATAATGTTTTAGACTCACCCACTTTCTACCGGTGTGACTGCGATCCTTGGAAGAGGAAGCAATGGCAGCGTCGTAGGCCTGCGCATGTAGTCTGGCGTTTTGGCTCTTCTAGTCTGTCTCTGGTGTAAAGGAGGTAGTTGTAGGGCTCCGGGACAGAATCTCCTTCCTTTCCAAAGGTCTATCCCCAAATTGTAACCATACGAACTGTAGGATTTGCTCAGACAACAATCAGAGAAACCTTTTGCATTCTGCCAATAAGAGACATAACAATTGGTTCTTGTATAAGCCTAAAAAGATTCTAATCATTACTTTCATGACAGTTAGAAAATACAATGTTCTAGGGTCAGGGATAGGCAACCTTCGGCACTCCAGATGTTTTGGACTACATCTCCCATAATGCTCTTACATCCATAATGCTGACAAAGCATCATGGGCGGTGTAGTCCAAAACATCTGGGGTGCCGAAGGTTGCCTATGCCTGTTCTAGATCACTAGAACATACAAACCTCAGGTTTTGGGGATGTACCATCAAATCAGTTGGAGAGAGTTGACAAAAAAATAGGGCTCTCCCCCTAGACATCCTTGGCTCAATTTCTCTTCAGCCATATTGACAACACTTGATTTACACTTGATCAAGATTAAAGGGACATTCTGGACCCCTAAATCACTTTAGCTTACTGAAATGCTTTATGTGATATTAGTGTGACCTCTTTTTTTTTCATTTTGCAAAAAGTGCAAAGTTTAATAGAAACAATTATGAATTAACTGTTACACCTCCCGACTGTCAGACGACAGGTCCTGTTACTTCCTGCTTTGATTAGCTCAGTGGAGATAAACTCAAGAGGCAGCAATTGCCCGGAGCACCTGCCTTGCAAAGACTTCTCTTTGAGCTGCATTGGGAAGTCTGTGATTGGACAGCCACAGAAAGTCTGGGCGGGGTTAGAAGGGGAGGGTTTGTAAAGGCAGCAGCTGTATTTAGATATACCCCAAATGAAAAAAAATTCTGAATTAAATGCATGCGGATATAAAATAATGTTTATATAATAAACATTATTTTATTTATATTTTTGTATTTGTGCAGTGAAGTGTCCCTTTATGTGTATTTTGTGGTTATGGTGTGTAGCATAATCCTTTAATTACTCAGAGGCTAATAGTTATTAAATGAAACTTGGACCGTTATTATAAAGGATCCCCTTAGAGCTAACAGACAAATGTTATATATCAGTAAGATATTATATTAGCATTCTAAAACATTAACAAAATATTACAATGTAATAATAATAATAATAAGATACTAGCCAGTAAGTAATTGTAAGTTTGTTTCAACTTACTGTAGAGTGTGCCCTTTTATCAGTTCTGGTAATCATTATAATGAAACTGGGAACGCTCATAAAAGATTAATGAGGAATAAGCACAAATTAATAGGTTTATTCTTGAGTTTACGGAAAGCTTCAGAATTTCAGAAACTTGTTTGTATGCAATTAATGCTCGTTTAATGTATTCTGCACAATAAAGTTGTAGACATTTCTTTATTTCAGTGCTAGGCAAGGTATTATGGGATGTTTAGATGGAACAATGTTTTCCACTATTGAGATTCTGAGTCTGCTACATACATTGATAAGCCACAACATTAAAACCACCTGCCTAATGCTGTGTAGGTACCCATCATGCTGCCACCAAGGAATGGACTGCAAAAAAACTGAACATCTCCTGTGGTATCTGGCACCAAGGCATTAGCAGCAGATTCTTTGTCCTTCAAGGTGAGGCCTCCATGGATCAGATTTGTTGTTCCACCACATACCACAGATGATCCCCAGATTGAGATCTGGGGAATTTGGAGGTCAAAGCAACACCTTGAACTCTTTGTCATGTTCCTCAAACAATTCCTGAAATTTTTTTGCAGTGTAGCAGTGTGCATTACCTGCTGAAAGAGGCCAATGAACATCATTGCCATGAAGGGGTGTACATGGTCTGCAACAATCTCTAAGTAGGTGATACGTGTCAAAGTAACACCCACATGAATTACAGGACCCAAGGTTTTCCAGCAGAACATTGGCCATAACATAACACTGCCTCCCCGTCCTGCCTTGTTCCCATAATGCATCATGTTGCCAACTCTTTTCCAAATAAAGGAAAAAACACCCAGCCATCCACCTGAGCTAAAAGAAAATGTGATTCAACCTTCTTCCATTGCTCCATGGTCCAGTACTGACATTAACGTCCTAATTAAAGGCGCCTTTGTCAGTGGACAGGGGTCATCATTCAGTAAGCACTCTGACTGTTCTGCAGCTACGCAGTCCAATACGCAGCTAGCCTTCAGACTAGCCTTCGCTCCCAACATGCATCAATGAGCCTTGGGTGCCCATGACCCTGACGCCATTTCACCGGTTGTCCTTCCTTGCACCACGTTTGGTAGGTACTAACCACTGCATACTGGGAACACCCCACAAGGATTGCAGTTTTGGAGAAGCTCTGACCCAGTCGTCTAGCTATAAGTATTTAGTCATTTTAAAGGACTTAGATCTTTTCATTTGTCATTTTTCTCGGACTCCAACACATGAATTTGAAGGACTGACTGTTCACTTGCTGCCTAATATATCCCACCTATTGACAGGCGCCATTGTTACAATATAATCAATGTTATTCAGTTCACCTGTCAGTGGTTTTAATGTTGTGCCTGATCAGGGTAGTTCTGGGAACTAAATGTGTTCATACTTCTATTAAAAACTATTGAGTAGTGTAATAATTTGGAAATCAGCTAAACAAAAATTCTGTAGCAAGCTCAAAAACCCAACTCTGTACGCTAAAGAATTAACAATTGGCTAATAATATATGAACAGACATGTTAGTGTGAAAATGCATACCGTCATTCCATTATTTATCTAACCATAAATATGTATGTACTTACATTTCTACATACATACCCACACACATCTATATTAAAGTGACGATATAACTGCATTAATGCTCACTTTAACACCTCCATGTGCTGTGTATGACTGATACAGAAAAAAATAAATATATTCAGAAACTAATATAAAAAGGATCCGCTTACATCCTCTGCTGTGACTGTCATCACACTCTGGCTTTTCTTCATTTTAGACTCCCAGCGACTCTTGTCTTCAAGGAAACGAATTTTCGGACAGACTTGGAACCTAGAGGAAAAATGGTTACAGTTACCTTCTCTTTCTATCACAGATATCTGTCTATAGTGCCTTACATTAATAGTTACCCCACCCCCCTACACACACACACACACACACACATTATTCAGTGTTACAATGTGGAATTTGAATGGATTTATTCATTTTACACAACATAACTAACACCTTGAAGGTGCAAAATATTTTTTATTGTAAGGCAAACAATAATTAAGCAAAAACGCATTAACTAGTCACCCAACTGAGCCAATACTTGGCCCAACCACCTGAGGTTGTAATTTTAACTGTGGTTCTTTGGGAATAAGTGTCTAACATAATTTCATATCTGGATCCTGTAATTTATAAAAAAAACATTTATTTTTTTTGAAACCAAAATCATTAGAGACAGCTATTTTCAAGTGCACAGATTATCAGTCTGATTGAGGTCAAGGTTCATCCCAGTTTTGATCTAGTTTGGATTTGTGCCCTATGTAGTTTTTTTGGTCCATCATACTAGAGAAATTTGTCCACGTTTGATGGGTTTCCAGTATGCCGTTTAACAAACTTCAAATGGGATTTGATATGGCACATGTTCATGAATCACAGCTTTATGGAGTATCTGGGTTAGAACTGTCCAACGGATGACTTCTCCAGACTCAGATCCTTTCAGCTATTTCCATATTACAGTTGGCCTCCTGGTAACATCTCTGACTAATGTCCTCCTTATCTGGTCAAGGTGTTTTGGTGGACTATGTATTCTAGGACAATCACAGGTTGACACATTTCTACTAATAAATTTAACAGTGCTCAATGGAAGTTCAAATTTCAAGATCTTTTTAGAATCCAACCCAATGGATGCTTCTCTAGAACTTTATCCAGGGCTTATTTTGATATCTCTTTGGTCTATGGGATGCCATTTGTTAAGAGATACTATTAAATAAAGTCTGGTGCCTTTCAGAGTGTATTTATTTTGAGATTACTCTAGCAACCATTAACCTGGCTTCTGGATTAGGGTTTTATAGCAAATCGGGTAAACGCGTATGCAAGTAACATGTCTGTTTGACTTTTGTGACAAAATAAAAACTTTAAATTAGAAGGTATGTTGTGTAATCAATTGGTAAAAATCCCCCCCAAAAAACAAATTTTCTATAATTACAGGTGCAAAAAGTCCAAATGTGCAATGTATCCAATCACCCCACCCACCCATCATCTATTTTATTAAACAACAATGGAAATTATTTTTCTATAATTATTTAATAACAATTGAATATGAATATTGCAGTGTCCCCTCTCCCCCCTTATCTATCTAGCCAGAACAGAGCAATACATTATCTTATGATTTGAAGGAATTTCATTCCAATATTAACCCATACCATGAATGAGTTTTCTGGCCTTTGAAACCATGAAGCTTATTCAATGAATGGGATATCATGGACAATTACCAATGGAATTACAAACTATAAGCCCAAACAGAGAAACTGGAAACAGTATATCACTCGGCTTTTTTACCAGCTCAGCTACTTTGGCATATTTTTTTGTTTAATTCTCCACAATCGCTAGTTAAAATAAGAAACACCATGGGAGTCTGAATAAGAGGAAAAAAGACTTTTCTTCAGTCACTCATCATGTCTGGCACAAGATAATTATGGACAAAATACAAACTGTGCTTTGCCACTCTGCACTACAGTAAATACAATAATCAATATGTAATCAAATAAAGCAGCAATCTATTACAGCCTGTAATGTAAATATGCGGCTCTGAGTCTTGAAATCAGAAGGGTAAGTGCAGGAAGCTCAATAATTCAAAAAGTTAACATTAGGTTTATATATATATTCAAAGTAAAGAAAAGATATAAAAAATCATCAAATAAGTATTGAAGTCATATCCCATAACCGGGTGCTGCTTACAGGAGGACCAGCGTATGCTGGAATCAATGTTCCTGCTCAATTTGTGTTTTCAAAAACCGTTTCTATATAATTTCCTGAGAAACTATATGGGCTGTGCTAGGTTTTACTGTGCACTTTCGAACCATGAAGGACATTATAAACTGAACCACGCCAAACTAAACACCAGTACCACAGTTTATATGGGTACAGTGTATAGTGTATATGGGTGGTGTATACAGTGTATATAGTGTATATGGGTACAGTGTATACAGTGTGTATGGGTACAGTGTATATAGTGTATATGGGTACAGTGTATACAGTGTATATAGTGTATATGGGTACAGTGTATATAGTGTGTATGGGTACAGTGTACATAGTGTATATGGGTGTGGCGGAACCCGCCTCGCCACCTGGCATTGGAGAGGCCTGGCTGCCCGCCTCCTACCTGCTGACTATGGCCCCTGGTAAAGTTGTACTTTTGAATGCAATATTTGGGCATATTGTATTTTATTGTGCTGGCTACTGGCCTTTAAGCACAGTGAATGGACTTACTAGAGGAAACTTTTGGACACTTCCTCTTCCCCTCCCGGATCCATTGTTCTCCAGCAGGGTGTTGTCCCAGGGACACTGCCAAACCAGTGGGAACTGGTTTGCCAAATGTACTTGCAAGTGAAAACAAAGGACTTGACCTAACCGTTAAACCCTGAACCTATTCAAGTGAATTTTGGATATGTTTGTCCCCAAGTTATACTGGTTAAAATAATATAAGTTTTATGTATATGCGATGTTAACTCACAAAGTTATAAAATGTACAAAAGTAACTTTTCAGCTTGGAGATAATTGAGTAGATACAGTAATTGACTCAATTATCTCCTAAGCAGAGGGGAGGAATATGCTGGGTGTGTTTCTATTTTCCCATTGTGTCTGATTGGCTGCTGTACTTGCATTGTATGTGTTGTAATGTGTTTATTGGTGGTTCTGCAAAACCCTGTGGGCAGTACTATGTTTTGTGGATTGTGAATAAAAGAGGCTGTATGTGCCAGTACAGGGAGTTCCTGTTTTAACCCTCAAAGTGAAGTGTCGTCTCATTATTGGGGGAAGGATTTATTGTATGCTGTTCCAGTTTGACTGCTAGGAGAGTAAACCTATTCGTATGGTTCCTATTCAACTGTCTACAGCATTCATATGCTTGAGAGAAGGTATACGCTTCTCTGGTTCGGTGTTGTGGTGTGGCAGTGCTTGGAGTCCTCAGGAAGCGCTAGGAGCATCTTTCAACGGAGGTACCCAGTCGGGGTGCCAGGCGATCCGTTACATTGGTGGCAAGCGGTGGGATGGCGTCCTAGTGCAAGGTAAAGCAGCTCAGAGACACAGTTCGTTTGGATTTACAAATTGAAGGCGACGCTAGTGTTTATACAGCGTCCCTGTCTACATAAAGATTTGGGAAAATGGGGTTCGTGGATCCTTGGGCAACACGCACACCTGAGGAAGAGAGTGAATTGGAATGGAGAGATATTGCCCGGCAAGAACTATGGTACGATGCCCTGGAGGAAGTCCAGTATCAACGGCAGCAGCGCCTTCCTGGTGTCGCATACCGGTTGGAGGAACAAATGGCCTGGCGGATGCCGCTTCTGGGAGACCAACCCGGAGGGCAGCAGGTCAGACAACTTGAGTACCTCGTGGAAGGGAACTGAGCCTTGACGCCTCATACCGGGCACTGTGGTGGTGCACTGTCCAGCCAGAGACGTGGAGGGCAAGGGCATCCAGCGGAGGGGGAGAACTACACTAGCCCTGGCCTGTTGTGGAAGGCCTTAGCAGAAGACGTCGACTTTGGCAGTCCAGCAGAGTCACGTTACTGGGCTATTTTTTATTACCGGGGTGAGATGGTACAGGGCCCGAGATCTATGGGACTGGGACAAGACCTCCACCGTTTGGCTGCCATGGAACGACAGCTAGAGATGGACTATGTGGAACTTCTGAACTCATGTCAGCCGCAGAGCATAGACGCAGAACAGGAAAACTGGGTGGCGGACCCAGACCTGCCAACCTACAGCTGGGAAAACGCAGCCGAGGTCCCCACTGCTTCACTACCAGTTGCAGAAGTAGGGGACCTCATAGACTGGTCCTGGGAAGACCCACCGATGGAAGGTAGAGATGGGACGGCTGTCTCTCTACCGGCCCTACAGGGATACTGGGCAGTCGGCCCAGATCCCCAGCGGCAGTATGTATCCCAGGGAGCTGAAGGTGTCGTCCTTCCTCCCCAGCGGCAATGTGTACCCCAGGGAGCTGAAGGTGCCGTCCTTCCTCCCCAGCGGCAGTGTGTATCCCAGGGAGCAGAAGGTGCCGTCCTCCCTCCCCAGCGGCAGTGTGTACCCCAGGGAGCAGAAGGTGCCGTCCTTCCTCCCCAGCAGCAGGACAATATATTGAAAGGGGAGACAGATGGTCCCCCTCTTCACCAGCAGACCAGTATGGAAGGGTCTGGAGATAATTGGCTGGCCGAAATAAGGCAGCGAGTGGCCCAGTATGGGGATGATGTACCCATGGAGACACGCCGGGTGATCTGGAACCAGGTCATGGCCGAGCGAAACACAAGGCTGGACTGAGAATTCCAGCGGGCGAAAGAGAGAGAGTGTCAGGGAGAGGAGCTTGTTACCCCCTCTCTCCAGCGGCAGTCTATGGTTCAGGGAGAGGAGCTTGTTACCCCCTCTCCCCAGCAGAAGCATAGCCCACCAAGGGGAGACACTAAACCCCTCACCAGTGCAGATGGGACCGTGGTCTCTGCGCCCAAGCTACAGGGAGTACGGAGGATCTGTCCTGCTCCCCAGCGGCAGAATATTTTACGGGGAGGGGAGAGTGTCTTTCCCCCTCCCCAGCGGCAGCCTAGCCCACCAAGGGGAAACACTAAGCCCCTCACCAGCGCAGATGGGACCGTGGTCTCTGCGCCCAAGCTACAGGGAGTACGGAGGGTCAGCCCTGCTCCCCAGCGGCTGGAAGTGTGTAAGGGAGAGGAGTTTGTTACCCCCTCTCCCCAGCGGCAGCCTAGCCCACCAAGGGGAGACACTAAGCCCCTCACCAGCGCAGATGGGACCGTGGTCTCTGCGCCCAAGCTACAGGGAGTACGGAGGGTCAGCCCTGCTTCCCAGCGGCTGGAAGTGTGTAAGGGAGAGGAGTTTGTTACCTCTTCTCCCCAGCAGCAGCATAAACCACCAAGGAGAGACACTAAGCCCCTCACCAGCGCAGATGGGACCGTGGTCTCTGCGCCCAATCTACAGGGAGTACGGAGGATCAGTCCTGCTCCCCAGCGGCAGAATATTTTACCGGGAGGGGAGAGTGTCTTTCCTCCTCCCCAGCGGCAGCCTAGCCCACCAAGGGGAAACACTAAGCCCCTCACCAGCGCAGATGGGACCGTGGTCTCTGCGCCCAAGCTACAGGGAGTACGGAGGGTCAGCCCTGCTCCCCAGCGGCTGGAAGTGTGTAAGGGAGAGGAGTTTGTTACCTCCTCTCCCCAGCAGCAGCCTAGCCCACCAAGGGGAGACAGTAAGCCCCACAACAGTGCAGAAGGGACCGTAGTCTCTGCACCTGCACCACTGGAGATATGGACAGTCTGTCCTGGCCCCCAGCAACAGGACAATGTATTGGAAGAGAAGGCAGTTTGTTTTTCCCTACTACAAGAGAGGTCGTCGCAGGGAGAGGAGCCTGTTACCCCTTCTCCCCAGCAACAGCTTTGTCCAACCAGGAGAGAGAGCACCCTGGTTACCTTTCCACCAGACTATGGATTTCCAACTGGACACATGTGGCAGAAGAACACCGGGACAGCTACACTGGGTGATAAAGGCCGACCGACTATCAGAGCCCCAGACCGATTGAAGGTCTGGAGTCTGGATAGTCTCAATGGGAAAGGGGAGAAATGTGGCGGAACCCGCCTCGCCACTTGGCATTGGAGAGGCCTGGCTGCCCGCCTCCTACCTGCTGACTATGGCCCCTGGTAAAGTTGTACTTTTGAATGCAATATTTGGGCATATTGTATTTTATTGTGCGGCTACTGGCCCTTTAAGCACAGTGAATGGACTTTTATTGTACTGTGCTGGCCTTTTTAAAAACAGTGTATGGACATACTGAAACTTTTTGGACACTTCCTCTTCCCCTCCCCCGGATCCATTGTTCTCCAGCAGGGTGTTGTCCCAGGGACACTGCCAAACCAGTGGGAACTGGTTTGCCAGGAAAAATCATGCTTGCAAGTGAAAACAAAGGACTTCGACCTAACCGTTAAACCCCTGAACCTTTTCAAGTGAATTTTGGATATGTTTGTCCCCAAGTTATACTGGTTAAAATAATATAAGTTTTATGTATGTACGATGTTAACTCACAAAGTTATAAAAATGTACAAAAAAGTAACTTTTCAGCTTGGAGATAATTGAGTAGATACAGTAATTGACTCAATTATCTCCTAAGCAGAAGGGAGGAATATGCTGGGTGTGTTTCTATTTTCCCATTGTGTCTGATTGGCTGCTGTACTTGCA